TCAAATGCCACTGGGCGTCATCAGAAAGTTGCCCAAGTCAGCCGTGGTCAGCCACCCAATCTTGGACAGAGCACAGCATCCACGGCAGTCAGGCTGGACCAACGATCCGTCATCTGTGACAGCTTTGCTGTGGCTTTCAGCTGAAGTGGATTATCTTGCATTTCATAAGCAGCCAAAGTTCTATTCAGGGGGCTGTGACGACGGAAACGCCTTGGCTGAGTATAATTTCTCACCATAAGCTTTTGGGTCATTGATCAGTTCGAGGTCTAGATCCGCCATTTGATTGAGTCCGTACGGTAATTATCGTTATTCAACTTGGACAAATGTTGTTTACCTGGGCTAGGTAATAGCTCAGTGTTGCAGCCGCATCCATGTCCATTTCTGCTGCTGTTGCATCGTTCTCGTCGCCGCCACTATTTCCACGCTCCACTTTCCGTCACCCCGGCCCTGCAACAATTCGTAGGACTTGCGATCTCTAGTGACAAAAAGAGTCGCCAGATTGTGCAAATATTGGGGACCTCCTTGGTAGGCTTATTTTAGCACCCTCCGTCAAAGAAACTTTGATGTCCCAAAAATATACCTACGCCAATACGATGTACAACAGATACGGCCGGCCCCGAAAAAGATGAACCAAGCCAAGAAAAAAACACTGGACATCAAATCACAGAAAACGAGGGATCTACGGACTTCAGTTACAGTCTATCACACGGTGCCTGATCTTGGAGTTACCTAGAAAAACGCCACAGCCCGTATCTTTTCAGCCGCTTCACGAGCTCAGAACAATGGGAGCAAAGCAACAAGGTCAATTCTCCCAAGCCCTTGGTTTCTGGTGTCAGTCACTGCCAGGGACAAAGCAGCAGCAGCAGCAGCACCAGGACAGGGTCCGGTGCTTGTCTGCAAGAATAAAGCCGTACAGTAACTTAGCCAAGCTTAGCTCAGGTGCCTAGGTTCCCCCTGGGCCCCCCCTGTCCTGGCGCTGGACATCCACCACACCTAACCAGCCGCCTCCTCTCCTCCACCGCTACAACTGGAGACTGAGAGCCCGTGAAGTGAATGCACTGGCTTTGAGCGGGATCCTGGTTTAGCAGACTGCTCAGCCTTACTTATTAGTCGCGGTGAATGGGTCCCTTTTCCCTTGTCTTGGGCCTTGGTCAATATTTATTACTGGAGGTAGGGTACTCCGTACTGTATGTATTTGGCTCAGCTTGGGATATATAACTTTGGTCCTCCCCCCTCCCATCGACTGTTCTCTTCCTGCCTGCATTACCTACTGGTGCTGCATCTTGAACTTTGTCTGCAGGCGTGGCTGTTCGTGTGCGTGCTCGCGTGATTACCACCCTCTTATATATTTAAGAGTATTTCGTAGACAGGCGGACTTGTTGGTTCGTCTTCCCACGCTCGCATTACACCTACGTACCTATACACGGAAACGAAACGCCAAATCATGAGAAGAGGCCTTTGGAACTGCTTAGAACTGAGGATTGGACGACCAAACATTGCATCTTGCTGCCCATAAACGAAACGATGAACCGAGATATGAAGCTGGATGTTGACTCCGTCATGGCCGACCAACTTCAAGACAAGAACAGCCGCTATGAGGGCTACTTCGCCTATCGACCACTATCCAACCTGCCTACACCGCCCCCAAGCTCTCGCAACTCATCCGCGGCTCAATCACCACGAACTACACTCGACGATGGAGAGCCATTGATCCCTCGATTTCGAGGTAAGTGGTAGCACTAGCACGGCTGGCAGAGGATTTAAGCACTGTTGATGTGTAACATCACGTTGTTGGTCTCCTGTTATGTCACCCAGCGTACAAAGCTTGTTTTATGTTTTACTAACAGACTATCCCTATAGGCCCTGCAATCCACCTTGTCAACCTCATCCCGTCATCTGCCTCTCTGGCCACGGCCTCTGTCCCTCTTGTCCAGGCCATCCTGAGCCGCGCCAATCTCCCGATTGAGACCGTTGCTCTCGCAGTATGCATTCTCGATAGCCTCGACTCCCGCTTCGCCCGACGATGGCGCCTCTCGTGCCCCCTGCTGTCCGGCTACTTCTCCTCCACGTCTAAGCGACACACTCTCCCGCCGACGCCCATCATGCCTCAACGACAGCAGTTACACATCGACTCAGTCAACCCCGAGCTCATCATTTTGGCAGCCCTTGTCATTGCGGTCAAGTTCATGGAGGATCCTCAGGAGGCTTCTCAGTACTATTGCAAGGCCTGGGGCCGGGGCATGTGGTCACCCGAGCAGCTCAACACCACCGAGCGATGCATCATGGAGAACCTCAACTACCGCATCATGCCCCTTTGCGACGAAGATTGTCTGACGGATGCCATGGTGGATATGCAATATGCCGCCCAGCAGCCCCAGTGGGACATCAACGAGCATATGCCCGCGGATAGTGACGACGAGAGCGACGACAGCAACAATCACAACAACTATGTGCCTAGCCATTCCAGATCAAAGACACTCGGCACAGGATCGGCTGTATTGGGGCTAGGCCTTTCTCTAACACCTGTCGACACCCCGACTGCCGAGGCCAGCCACTCGACTACCCCGCAACCGTCAAGGCTCTGTAATGACTACTTCAACCATTTCCAGGCACGAGAGGATTAAAAAGGATAAACGGCGTTCTTTCTTCACTTTGGGCATTACGAGGCGTTACCGTGGATACCAACACATTTAGCGACTTTTTATGGATTGTTTTGACAGCGACTCGACTCGATCCGGCGTGATAGGCATCTTGTTATGTGTTGTTTTGGGAATCAGTCCCCTTTCATAACGCTCCTGATTGGACGACGGGGCACGAAATAGCATTGTTCTATATACGGTGGCATTCAGGGAGAACTTTGAGTTTCTATAATCAAGGAACAAGTTTATTGGGATTGATTTGGATTGATTTGCAGCTGGCTTGCGCCTCCTTTGCATCATAGGTTGAATTCAGCATGGATATGGCATCTGATCTGAAGCTAGGATTACACATACCCCTTTCCGTATATTCTAGTCAATAACTACGTACTTTTTAATGTTCTATAAATGGCTCCCGGTCCCATACAAGTAACTCCGGCCCTTGGCATAACAAATCAGGCGATATCATGCCAGCATTTCTCAGGGGGGATCCACACTGTTGACGTTGATGTCTTAGCTAGGGGTTCACCGCATGGAAAAACTCGTGATGTGGTTTTTGTAAGTCCGTATACTATGCTTGGATACGGGAATTTATGCCGGCTTGTTGGTTTTATTGTAAAGTATGTTGAAGATATGTGGTATTGATTACTGTATCGAATGAGAGGTGCAGTTAGAGACCTACCTAATCTTATGTTGGAATTGGCCGTATACTACTCAATCACCCACCCCTCCCCAATTTATAGACTATTATATTAACGAGGAGCTCATTCATCATTTCGCTTCTATATCTAGCTACAATGGCTGAGTATCGTAGGACACCAATACATTTCCTTAAGGACTTAGCCTCTTCAATGTCCACTCCTCTTCCTCACCCTCCCGTTCATAGACGAACCTGTCGTGAAGTCTACTCTCCCTTCCTTGCCAGAACTCGATCCTATCCGGGATAATTCTCAGTCCACCCCAAAACTCGGGAACCGGGATTTTCTCCTGCCCCTCAAAACGCTTCTCAACGTCTTTGACCCATCCCTCCAGCTGCTTACGGCCATCGTCATCTTCACCTTGTGGCTCAAGTACTTGACTCTGTCGACTAGCCCATGCGCCGATTCTGCTTCCCCGAGCTCGCGTGTCGTAGTATGTCTGGCTTTCTTCACGGGAGATCTTCTCTACCCGTCCTTCAACATGGACTTGACGCTGTAGGGATTCCCAGAAGAACAACATCGCAGCACGGGGGTTAGTCGCTATATCAGCTGCCTTGCGAGACGTGCCCAGGTTGGTGTAGATGACAAAGCCACGGTTGTCGAGCTCCTTCAGATACACAGTGCGAGAGGAGATACGACCTGAGGGGAGAGAAGCTGTTGAGAGAGTGCATGATTCAGGATGATCTACGCCAGAATCATTCTCCTGGGCACGGGAGAACCATGCGTGGAATTGAGGGATAGGTGATGTTGGGTTTAGCTGTGAGCGAACGAGAGTTCCTTTGGTAAACTGCTCGGCTTGCCCTGTTGCCTGATGGCCCGCGGGGGCGACTATGAGCTGTTAGTAAACTGCCCCATGAACAAATAGTGTTGTAAAGAGAAGAGTCATGATGGCAAGACTGGCGGGGTGACGTTGAACATACAGATGAGCTTCGAAGTATCTGCTGAATGAAGCGCCATTTTTGCAGTAGAGAACAACCTAGAGCTGAAGTTAGGTATTGGAAGACGCATTGAAATATATATGAGTCTACTGTAGGAAATCATGCGATTTGACTCACTGGACGAACTTTGAGGCATACGATGGAATGGTATGTTTAAGGGAAAGAAGGTACGTACTGCGCTATCGGCGGGTAGTGGAGTCATGACATCTTCGAAGTGAAGGAAGTTTCTATATGCTAGTTACCGGAACAAACATTGAGATTTCAGGAAATGATCCATCATTCATAGCACAACACGAACTGTAGATGGATAAACACAACAGTATCAATATCCAAGAGTTATAATGTTAAGGATTTCGCCAATGAACTCATGAGTGTCTGCACTAACCGTCTCATGATATTCACGCCACGAAAACCAAAGAGAAAACAGGCACGCACACGAAACACACGGAACGCACGGGTGAAATAATAAATAAGTATTAAATTAAATAAACGCATACGACGATACGTATAGATATACATGATACATAACATACATAAAACCGAACGCCGACGACGTGAGTCGCACCTCATTTACACATTCTATAACATCATATGTCGTTCACGGGCATCATCTTGGAATGCTTGCTAACGCACGCCAATTTCTATCCGGCTTTGAAAAAAGCAAAAATTACAAAAAAATCCGATCATATCATGAAACTTTTCAAATCCTTTCCGACTCATGTATACGTTTACGAATCAGCCATAACTAACGCCAACAGAGCCATGCGGCAGTAGAGGCCATAGCGCATCTAAACATCGTGTTAGCAATGGGATCAACATGTCGTAGGAATCAGTGCTTACCTGTCGGAAGTATGCAGCCCGCTGGTCGAAGTCGACCTCCTCGGCAACCTCCTCGTTGCGAGGGAGAGGGTGCATAACAATTGAAGAGCTCTTAGCATGCTTGAGCGAAGCGTTGTCCACTCGGTAAGAGTTCTTAACGCGCTGGTACTCCTCCTCGTTGGGGAAGCGCTCCCGCTGCACACGTGTGCAGTACAGGACATCACTACGAGCCAGGATCTCGGGTGTGAGAGTCTCAGACTCGCAGAGAAGTTGGCCGGAAGCAACGAGCTGCTCTCGGACCTTAGGTGGCAAAGCCAGAGCCTTGGGGGCGACTAGCTGGACCTGGACGTGGTAATGTCTCAGTAGGTATACAAGAGAGTGCACAGGTCGGCCATAAAGAAGATCACCCAGGAAGGTGATGGTCAAGCCCTGTACGGTACCCAACTCCTCACGGATGGTGAAGAGATCAAGGAAAGCCTGCGTGGGGTGCTCCTTGCTTCCGTTGCCACCATTGATCACAGGGACAGGGCTGTATTTCTCAGCAACATGGACGCTGGTCTCCTCAGGGTGACGGAGAACAACAGCATCACCATAGCAAGCCAGAGTACGGAGAGTATCCTGGAGAGTCTCACCCTTCTGGACAGAAGAGTGAGAAGTGGAGATGGCGATGGTGCGTCCACCAAGACGTTGCATAGCAGCATCGAACGAAGCCGACGTGCGAGTTGAGGGCTCGTAGAAGAGCGTGGTCAAAACGCGGCCTCGAAGGATGTTCAAGACACCTTCGCGCTGGACACCAAGACGCATCTCCTGAGCAACGGTGAAGAGCAGGTGGAGATCAGCTCGGCTGTAAGACTTGACGGACAGGACGTGTGTGTTCTTGAACGACGAAGGCTGAGCCAGGAGCTGCTGCAGAGAAGAGCTGACCAGGGGCTGGAGCTGGAGGCCAGGGGCGAGCTCGTCAACAGGAGCAGCACCACGAGCAGGCGAAGGCAGAGTAGCGCCAACAGCACCAGTATCGACACCGCGGAGACGGTTCAGAGGCTGAAAGCCACCCAGCATGGACAGGCGGCGGGCTTGGGGAGAATCGGTGGCTTGAGCGATCGAGGTGGTGGGCTTGACTGGGGGCGACATAGGAGGAGCGATATGCGAAGACATGTCCTTACCCTGAGGCGAGACAGGCAAAACTTCACCATCAAGACAGACAGTGGTGTTCTGGAAAGTGACTCTTTGGACAGATCCACGCATAGTCCGACCCACAAAGGGAGACCAGAAGGTCCCAGGAGCCACGGTGTAGGGGCGATCAATCTCAGCCTCAATGGTGGTACCGGATTGATCGTGGAGCTCGAAGATCTCCATAGGGTTGGTGTAAAGGCGTTCCTTGATGTCGTCAACAGTCAAACGACCCTCAGCAACTGAAGTGAGTAGCAGAGGGAGAGCATCAGAGATACCCATATGAGGATCACCCTTGTGGCCGAGCGAAGTAGCCAGGCGGTAAGGCAGACTACCAATGGAGAACACATCAATGGTCGACATGTGCTGCCAGAGTGCCTTCTGATCAGCTACAGTGGGCAGACGCTCGCACTCAGGGTACTCGTCACGGTTGATGTACAGAGAGTAGATCGAGACGTCGCAGGTGACTTGGAGTCCCTTGGCCTTGCTAAGGGCGATAAGCTTGATATCATCCTTGTTGGTGACCGAAGTAACATGAATGCGACGGTTGTGGAGGCTGGCAAGGAGGAGAATAGAGGCCAAGTCGGTCAGCTTAGCATCGGTGACGATAGGCTTGTGTGTAGGCCAAGAATCGAAGTGAGCAGTGACAGCAGCAACCTTACTGATGTTGCCAGAGAGGTGGTTGAAAGGAATGAAGAGTGAGCCAACCTCGCCAGTAACATGGCTGATCTGATCAGCATTGTCCGAGGTAGCGGCCACAGAAAAGTTGTAATCACAGTAGCCACCCCGTCGGCTGTTCTGCTGAGCGGTCTTCAAAGTGAGGGCATCAGTGATGGCGCCATCAACACCCAGAGGCATAACCCGGATCATGCTGAAACCAGCAGAAATAGAGGCCTTTGTCACTGTCTGAAGGTCATCATTGCTGGCAGTAGCGATACCTGGAACAAAAGCTGCGATGTTGATTAGACCAGGCAGCACGATGGTACGGTGGCTGGTCTGGTAATCGCGCTTAGAAACCTCAAGCTCGAAGTGGCGGGCAATGGCCTCAACGAGAATTTTGGCGTTCTTGACGTTGGTAACGAGAGGGATCTGGTAATCAACAGCCATACGTCGAGTCTGGTAACCCTTACTCATGTAGTTGGCAGGACGACGGTACTTGTTGTTGGAAGGCAAGTTGATGTACAGATCAATGGTGTTCTTGGCCAGATGCTGGGTGAGAGAGAATTCAGAGCTGCGGTCCTCCTCCTTACCGAGAACCTCAAGGTATTGACACTGAACGCCATGCTCCTGGAGGAAATCGGCGGTACCGGAAGTAGCAAACAGCTTGTAGCCAAGCTTCTCAAGCTTCTGGACAGAAGGAAGCATCTCACGCTTGTCCTTGTAAGATCCAATGGACAGGAGGATGTTCTTCTTGGGGATCTTGAAACCAGTAGACATCAAGGCCTTCAGATAGGCCTCATTCTTGTCAACACCGAAGCAAGCAACCTCACCTGTAGAGGCCATCTCGACACCCAGTACGGGATCGGCACCGGAAAGACGGGAGAAACTGAATTGAGGGACCTTGACACCGACGCAGTTGGGGGCAAGATCAGTGGGAGGGTAGGCCTGGAAAGGCTGGCCCATGATGGCCTTGGTGGCCATCTCGATCAAGTCAACACCCATGACCTTGGATACGAAGGGGAACGAACGTGAGGCACGAACGTTACACTCGATGACCTTGATGTCGTTGTCCTTGGCAATGAACTGAATGTTGAAAGGACCAGTGACGTTGAGGGCCTGGCCAATCTTGCGAGTAGCCTCCTCAATACGCTCAATGGTGGTGGCTTCCAAATCTTGAGGAGGCAAGATAAGGGTAGCATCACCAGAGTGAACACCAGCGTTCTCGACGTGCTCGGAGATAAAGTGTCCAATAACCTTACCGTCCTTGGCAACGGCGTCCATCTCAATTTCCTTGGCATTCTCAATGTACTTGGTGATAACGACAGGGTGCTCCCGAGAAACTTCAGCAGCCTGGTCCAAATAGTTCTTGAGATCCTTCTCAGAGTAAACTGTATTCATAGCAGCACCCGAGAGGACGTACGAGGGTCGAACCAGTACGGGATAAGAAACAGCGTTACAGAACTCCTGAGCTTCAGCAAAGCTAGTAAGCTCCTTCCAGGTAGGTTGATCGACCTCGATGCGGTCCAGCATACGAGAGAACTTGTATCGGTTCTCGGCATTGTCAATCATCTCGGGCGAAGTGCCCAGAACCTTGACACCAGCGCGGTGCAATGGGAGTGCAATGTTGTTGGGGGTTTGACCACCCATAGCACCCAAAACACCGCTTGAGTTCTCCAGCTGGTAAATGTCCAGGACTGTTTCGAGGTTGATGTTCTCGAAGTAAAGCTTATCGGCTTCGTCGTAATCTGTACTAACCGTCTCCGGGTTATAGTTGACCATGATTGTCTTGAAACCGGTAGCGCGAAGGGTTCGAATAGCTCGGACTGAACACCAATCGAACTCGACTGATGAACCAATGCGGTAAACACCAGAGCCGAGGACCATGACACCATGATCGTCGAAGTTGACATCGTGATCAGAGGCATTGTAGGTCATGTAGAGGTAATTTGTAAAGGCAGGGAATTCAGCAGCGACGGTGTCGATCTGCTTGACGAAGGGCTGAATACCAGCCTCAAGTCGCAGGCGACGGACAGCAATCTCGTTGGAGCTCCAGAATTTGGCGAGCTGACGGTCACTGAAACCCAGACGCTTGGCCTGGAGAAGGATAGAGGGGCTGGTGGTGATGTCGGTTGTGCTGTAGCAAGTCATTCTCTTAGCGAAGTCGCTCAAGCCCTTGAGCTTGCGAAGGAACCACTTGTCGATCTTGGTCAATTCCCAAATCTTGTCAACAGTGTATCCCTCGTGCATGGCGTTGGCGATGGCAAATAGACGCTGGTCAGAGGGGGTCTGGAGCTCATCTTCAATGCTCATAAGGGCCTCCGTCTCATTGAAGCCGAGGTTGTGGAAATCAATGGCTCGGATGGCCTTCTGGATGGCCTCCTCGAAAGATCGACCAATGCTCATGACTTCACCCACACTCTTCATGGAGGAACCAAGCTGAGTGGACACGCGGGTAAACTTCTTGAGATCCCATCGAGGCATCTTGACCACGACGTAATCGAGCGAGGGCTCGAAGCAAGCACAGGTGGACTTGGTGACTGAGTTTTTAATCTCCTTGAGAGGAATACCAAGACCAAGCTTGGCAGCGATAAAGGCCAGAGGGTAACCTGTAGCCTTAGAGGCAAGAGCAGAAGATCGAGACAGACGGGCGTTGACCTCGATAATGCAGTACTCGCGGGAAAAGGGATTCAGGGCATATTGAATGTTACACTCTCCGACAACGCCAAGATGACGAATGACATTGACAGCTGTTGTTCGCAGCATATTGTAGTCTTCATCAGACAAGGTCTGCGAGGGAGCGACAACAATAGAGTCACCGGTGTGGATACCGAGAGGGTCGAAGTTCTCCATGTTACAAACTGTAATGCAGTTGTCTTGAGCATCACGGACAACCTCGTACTCGATCTCCTTCCAGCCCTTCATACTACGTTCAATCAGAACTTGGGGACTGGCGGCGAAAGCTTTGTTGCAGAGATCCATGAGTTCCTCATCATTGTTGGCGAAGCCACTGCCGAGACCACCAAGGGCATAGGCAGCACGCACAATGACGGGGAAACCAATGTCCTTTACGACGTGCATCGCCTCGTCGATGTTGTTGGCAGAGGCGGACTTTGCACACTTTTCGCCAATAGAGTCCATGCTTCGGGCAAAGAGCTCACGATCCTCCGTAGTGATGATAGTGTCGATCGGAGTACCAAGGACCTTGACACCGAGAGACTCGAACTCATCCTTGAGCTGGATACCAACTTGAAGAGCGGTCTGGCCACCAAAGGTCACATAGATAGCATCAGGTCGCTCATACTGGATGACCTTTCGAACGAAGTCGGCGTTGACAGGGAGGAAGTAAACCTTGTCAGCCAAGCCCTTTGAGGTCTGGATAGTGGCAATGTTGGGGTTGATAAGAACAGTGTAGATACCCTCCTCCTTCAAAGCCTTGATAGCTTGGCTACCAGAGTAGTCGAACTCGCCAGCTTGACCAATGCTGAGACCACCACTGCCAAGAACGAGGACCTTGCGAACGGAAACGCGAGGGTGAAGACGCTCGTTCTCTTCGATGGTGCCGCCAGGGAAGCTGACAGGGGCCTTGAGGAGCTCGGGCTTCTCAGCGCAATTGGCCATGGTGTTAATGAACACATCAAAGAGGAACTCGGTGTCGCGAGGACCAGGGGTGCTCTCGGGGTGGAACTGCACACTGAAGTAGGGCTTCTCAGTATGGAAGATACCCTCGTTACTGCCATCATTGGCGTTGACGAAGAGCTCTTTCCAGCCATTGGTCAGGCTGTCAGTGTCGACAGCGAAACCGTGGTTCTGAGAAGTGATGTGGCATTTTCCAGTAACCATGCTGGTACAAGGAATGTTGTGACCACGGTTACCGAACTTCATCTTCTTGGTGGTGGCGCCAGCAGCACGGGCGAGGAGCTGATGTCCCAAGCAGATACCAAAAACAGGGATTTCGTTCTTCTCGAGGACGGCAGCGATGTTCTTAACGACGTTGTCGAGCATAGCGGGGTCACCGGGACCATTGGAGAGGAAGAGACCGTCGAACTCGTCAATGGCGCTGGCGATATCGTAGTCCCAAGGACAGACAAGGACCTCGACACCACGCTTGAGGAAGCACCTCAGCTGATTAAACTTCATACCGACATCGAGGCACAAAACACGGATAGTACGCCCAGATGGGTGCTTACGGGCGACCGAGGTCGGAGGCTTGTAGAGCTTGGGAGCCTTAATGGAAACTACATAGATAATGAGCATGCGTCTTCGAGTTTGAAAACGCTAAGAGACTCACCTTCGGCCACCAAGTTCTTGGTGTTTGGGTTGACCCATTCGACCTCCTCAAAGTGGTCGGTGGGCAAAGCAGCCAAGGCATCGTCAGCCTGGCCGTTGGCAGAGCCATTGGTCAGGCCACGGGTCTCAAGGCGCATCTTACCCAACATGCTACCCTTCTCACGAATTCTCTTGGTCAAAGATCGAGTGTCAACACCGTACATGGCGGGAACGCCCTGCTCCTTGAGCCATGTGCCCAGAGAGGATTTGGCCAAGAAGTGGGAGAAGTCTTCGCCAGCATATGAAGCTGTGACTAGACCGGCAATGTGGATTTCGCTAGACTCGAAGTGAGCTGGCAGATCGCCGAGGAGCTCATCCATGGCCTCGCGCGAGGGAACACCATAGTTTCCGACAAGAGGGAAAGTGATGACGAGGATCTGGCCGCGGTACGAAGGATCCGTGACGGACTCAGGATAGCCAACCATACCCGTTTGGAAGACCAGCTCTCCAGCAATGCTCTTCTGAGCACCAAAGCTGTAGCCCTGGAAGGAGGAGCCGTCTTCAAGCTCGAGGCAGACGAGGCCATCATCCTCGGCGCCAGTCTGACGCGCAGAGGCGGGAGGCTGAGGAACCAAAGCCATTGTAATGGTTATGGTAAGGGTTTAGATGTGAAGCACAGAAAGAAACAAAAAGCTCCGGCGCTGGGCTATATCAACAAATTACCCAAAGAAGCGCGGGGCAACGACGTGGAGGGGTCGTCGCGGGAGGACAGGGAGATTGCGAGCGACGGGCCGGCAAGTTAACTCGTTTTCAGAGCTACCCTGGTAAGGTCAGAAGCTACCTCGCAATCATCAGCCTCAACTGTAGGTAGAGGAGAAGAGGATGTTGGAGAAGAGCGAGGGTTTGGGAGGAGGAGAAAGAAGAGAAGGAAGGCTTCTGATGAGAGCGGCCTTCGAAACTTTTTTTTATCGCCGGGGCTGCAGCACAGGGTGCTCCCCGCTGTGTAGTGCTATAAGCTCTAATTGGCCAATTGAGAGATGGTTCCCTCGATGCGGCCAATTGCAGCATTCCATTAAAATCTGCAGGGACACTAAAATGCCCCGCCATGCCTTGGCCAAACTTCTCAAGCCTCTCCACAAGCTGCGCAACAACCTTTCATCATGACCGATCGTTCATCAAAAATGGTTGGACTTGAGCCTCGAGAGTGGGTTTGTTGGATCAGCGGTCAGGGTTTGGCCGCACTGTCGATACGGGCCAAGGCATTGGAAATTTCCTGTCCGAGTGCCATGGCAGGTGGTGGGGAGACTTGTGAAAGACTCCGGTAACGGAAGAAATATCTACGACATGTGCGGCTTGGAGTTGTCATGACAAAGTCTTTAACGTGGAAAGCAATGCATTGCTAGATGCGCAGGCAGCCGCTCTGGAAGCTGCAGAATGCTTAAAAGCTTTCAGCCCGTAAGCATAATAATAACGCTTACTGTGAGAAAGTGCTGCAGTCAGCCACTGGTGCAGCAGGACATACTTTTTTCAGCCGGCACTCAGCGTCCCAAGATCCATGATCGAAAAAGCTCGAGCCCAGGGCGGCAGTGAGAAAAAGGCGCTTTACATCACAGGCTAAAACTTACAACACCCACTTTCCGCTCAGCATCCACCTCCACAGCTTGAAAAAAGATTTTTTTTTCTTACATCTGATCTTGCTATGATTGGATTAGTTCATGGTGATTCTCCACCTCAGTCACGGTTAGCCTCATGCAAACCGCCAAAACCCGATATACAGGTTCACCAGCAAGTATCCTGGCATGAGGTTCGTGCTACAGCATGAACGTCTCAACAAATATGGAGCAGAGAATGGTATGCTCCGTTGCAATCGAGGATACATACATGCAAATCCCCCATACGTTATAAATGTCACAAGCTCGAATGTCGAACAGAGTGCCATTGTTTCATGTAGACAAATTTGACTTGATCGATTCGATGAAAACTACCTAGTACTTTGTAAGATTGCAGGTTCGCAAAATTGATGTAAGGTAGCCAAAAATAAACGTAAAATCATATATACAGGCTAGACACTTTTGGCTTTTCATTGCTAGTATTCCTGAAGCAAGCTCCTCAACGCCCTGAGCAAAATCACCAACTACACATACATTTCTCCTCTTGAACCGCCTCGAAAGTAACGCTATTCTCATAGCAATATTGCTTCTAATCTGCCAGTTTGTCGAGTTCTCAAGACCAAGCCAGCCCTTATATCATAAAAAAGAAGAAAAAGTGTTCTGGTATTCGTTAGATGAACTGGTCAGCTTGACCCAAAAGAACTCCATCTGTGTCTATAAAGTCTTGCAACATATCTACGCCTTCACGTTCTTTGTGTCACTCAGTAGTCATCTGAGCCGTCAACGTTAGGGCATAGGAGGAGCCCCCATATTCGTGATCTTGGGCGTCCTTTGTGCTGTCGGGCTGGCCTGGCTTCCCATCATGCCAGGCTTCTGGCCGCCTTGTGTATTCATACGGTAAGCTGGTTCTCTCTTCGGGTCAATTCCGGGGAAGACAGCCTGTAACCTTGAATACAGGTCCCTTATGCTATTGATTCGCTCTTCACGGTCAGCGACCGGGTCGATGTTGTTGTCTGCACCTTCAGGTCCTACAGCTGGGGCCCGGAGTTTCAGCGAAAGAGTCAGAGCAGGGGCAGTGAGGTATGCTGGACAGGGCGGAACTTTAACTTCGGGCTTCCGATCCGCAAGTGCGGCCATATACGACAAGTTTGTTTGCAATCTCCTCATACATCTGAGGCACGGTTAGTTGTGTCAAGTAATTTGTTGTCTAAATGAGAACTCACTGGAGATAGTCCTGCTGTAGTTGCGTCTCCTCGTCTGTCGGTTTTTTATCGGCAGGGTTTCCAGCTGCAGCGCTCTCCTTCTTCAGTTCTTGTTGGGTTGCCTGGATTTGTATAGATTCATAGAGAAGCTCGTGGTTGATATCGAGCAACAATGCGAATCGTTCTTTATCTCGAGATTCGGTACCGGGGCTCAGCGGAGCCGCTGCTAAAGTTCCATTGGCAGCCGGTCCTTGATTTGTAGAGAAGGTTGGCGTCTGGGGTGTCGATAATCCGGCAGATACGGGTTGTTGGGACTGCTGCTGCCCTTGCGCCTGTGCCGGAGCTTGTTGAGTCTGCTGCTGCTGCTGTTGCGACTGTGGTTGTTGGGGCTGCTGGTTCGTGGGGGTCTGGCTTTGAGAGTGAGGCTGAGGAGTCGGAAATTGACCCTGCTGCGAAGGCAGGGCATTGTTTGGTGTTCCTTGTGCGGCGCTCGGGGGTCTTTGAGGGGTCGATACCTGGCCCATACCAGCGGGGTTAGCAGCTTGCTGTTGTTGCTGCTGTTGCTGTTGTTGTTGTTGCTGCTGCGCTTGAGCCTGCGCTTGCTGTTGCTGTTGCAATCGCTGCATCATTTGAGGATTCTGGGGCATCCCGGGTTGGTTCATCGGGAAGCCTTGCATGCCTCCGCCCATCATATAATTTGGCGCAAAATTCTGAGGAGCGACCGACGAGGGAACGACTTGACCGTAAGGGTTGGCAGCGAACTGCTGTTGGAAACCTGCCACTATGCGCAATCTGTTAGTCAGGTGTGAAGAAGGAGTGCTTTGCCGTGTCGCATATCGTTTTGCGCCGCGCTTCTTCTTAATGATGCCTAACCACAGGCTGCCCACACATCGTTAAAGAGGCTGGAGCTGTTTACAGGAGCATTGGAAGCAGGTGCGTCGTGAAAGATTCGATCGGAGATTGCGCGTGAATGAAGAAATGGTACCTACTCTGACTATTGGCAGCCATATGCTGCATTCCTGCGTTTGGCATCATGCCTCCTGGACCAGCACCCATCATTTGAGGATTCGCGCCAGCGTTAAAGCCTCCTTGAGGCGTCATGCCGGCGAACTGCTGCTGCTGGTTATACATCATCTGCTGAGCGGCTGGCTGGGCTCCGGACTGCTGCTGTGGGGCAGGGTTGTTGAAAGAGGGAGCAGCATTGTTGCTAAAGCCGTAGCCGGCGGAGTACATGGCTGTTTGTGAATATGAATGTGACTGTGACTGTGACCTGGGCTGTCGCTTTCAGGGCGTCAAGGCGTCAGTGCAGCGCTTCAAGCGGCAGCGCGTGCTGTACTGGCTGTGCTGTGCTGTGGCAGCGGCAGACAGCACCGTATAATAGTGGGAGGGATGTGTTGGGATTGCGCGTGTGTGAGCGAGAACAGGCTTGTCGTTGGCTGGCGACGGAACACGAATGGGGTCCAATCAGTCGGTCAGTCCATCAAGAGGAGTGACAGGAGGTCGTATGGCGTGGGATCGGGAGGCTGGGCTTGTCGCTTGTGTACGGATATGGACATGTATGGACGCGGTTCAGTTGGTTCAGGTTCCAGGATTGGAAATGAAACCTAGAGTTAACTCGACGGTGGACAGTTGAGACGTGGTTGTGTGGGTCCAAATGTTACGGCAGCCCAGGTGGGTAGCAAGCCCGTTTTTGTCACGGTTACACTTCAGCTACGGTTCCGTCAGCACTACGGAGTACGTGTTCAACATTAGCTATCCATGGATCGAAGTTTGATTGATTGATGATGCCATCGACTTCTGCCACTCGGTAAAAATAACATATTAGCTTTCTTCCCTTCCAGGCAGAATAGACTCTATTTTCCTCTTATCCAATATCGAAGTGTATATTCCTTTATACAATGGAAAACCCCGCGATTAATTACTTGTATGATTTGGCTTTCGTCCATGTATATGTACCTATGATCCCACCAGACTCGATTCCTGTACTCACATATATCGTTCATACAACCTCAGTCTAATCTTCAATCTCCATACTTCTCTAAACTCCAAATGTTCAGGTAGCAGACACATCCAATGAATGTCCATTGACAAGGGTAGTCCAGGAGCTGCAGTCCATGTGAGACACATGCCGACGAGGGCTGGCTGAGTTGAAAAAAAATATCATCCAACACAAGCGCCACCAATCGCTAACTCAATCTCAGGCCTGTTTACTCTTATTTTCAGCCGCACGCCATCCAAAGAAGCTGAGTATCACTCTTGAACCGTTATACTTCCCAGAAGCAGTAGCATACCCGAGAACTTTCTCACGACAGGTGAGCATGGCCCGATACTCTGATACCCAAGCAGACTCAAAACTAGCAAAAAGAAATGATCACGCTGGGGATCGAACCCAGAATCTTCTGATTCGTAGTCAGACGCCTTGCCATTGGGCCACGCGACCTTGCTCTTGAATGATTCCTGGCGACCAAATTCCCGTCCAAGATTGTGGACGACACAGACAGAGAGCTTGCTTGTACCTTAAGCGCGGTTCTGAACTTCTGAGATCGTACATTGTTCGTTGTACATCTGCTCATGTTGTATATGTGGAAATTACCGTGATTGCCTCCGTAGTCGACCTATTCTGAGTCCGCAGTTCCCAAGTTACCACGTTGTTGGTAGGGTTGTCAGTTGCAAAGTTAAGCTTTCCCGTATGCTGAAAGTGATATACCAGACACACCACTTTATGATGACGTTTCAAAAGAACAATAGCTCGAGTAAGAAATATCTGCCCATTCCATAACTATGGGCATTCAGGGCGCGCGCTTCGTGTAGCGATGAAATGCATTGATCCTGCCAGACTCCCGTCCATTGACGACGTGTTCTCTTCAGGAGACAGTTGTATACTGAAGTTATGTAAGGGCACAGGAAGCGATATATATATATAGAGTGGTCGGAGGTGAATGGAAACCGGCAAGTCCATGTCGCAATAAGTATTGGTGGAAAACGTCTAAGGTCTGAAGGGCTCTTGCGCGACATAGATGGTGGAATGCAGGACGCGGTGCTCCGTACAGCCGCAAGAGCGCATAAAACGAGCCTTGTTGTCTAGCCAATCATGGCTCAAGGGAGTTACACCATGGCTCGACCAATCATTAACCACGATACAACTATAAACTCATCAAGTTAAGAATCGTAGCAATTATGTCGCTGATAATAATCTTATATACATATATTACAAGGACTTATTCTTTTGAAATTTCTGAACATAAGCATAAAGGTCTGCGTGAAGGAACATTCCAATATCGAAATCATTCTCAGAGTTAATTTAAATGCCTGAATGCCTACTGCTGGGCACTAGTCTTTTTACAGAAAAACATAACTGCTATCAGAGCGACATTATCTAGATATTGTTTTATGTGGTGATACTAAGTCCTATCCAAGCGCAAAAGGTAGCATATTCTCCTGGTGAGAATTGGTACTGCTGAGTGCCAAAATCAAAAAGAATGATCACGCTGGGGATCGAACCCAGAATCTTCTGATTCGTAGTCAGACGCCTTGCCATTGGGCCACGCGACCTTTACTCTTGATCTCGGGGGCGGTATTCAGTACCATTATTCTGGAGTAGTGTGGAATTGATGCTTTGCAACGCCTGCTCGTTTTATTGACGTGACTGTGGCTACGGGTCTTGATCCTGAAATGGCTTTTGGTTTTATTTTTAATGTTCGGTGGCTAAGTATTTGGCTTTCCTTTGTTAGGTTATGACTATGGTGAATTATCATAGCAGAAAAGACCTGGAGGCGATCAAGTCATGTTTGGAAATGGATCATCCTATCTGTCTCAGTGTCTCCCGTCGACGAAGATATAAACTAATTCTACCACGTAATAAACACCGGATTAACCTCAATAGACATACAGTTACCATGTTCCATATCATATGATATTGAGTTTCAAACATGAAACTGTTGTTCAAAACTTTCGTTGTCCTTTAGGGTAACGCTTTGGTACATGCATGATTCCAACACCAATCTACCTGAGCTCAAGCCATGGTGACTCAATTGCAAATCGGAAAACAATCGCTCTTTTGTACTGCAAGCCTTTACCTTCTTCAGTTGCTTATCAAGGTTCTAAACACCAAACCTTGGGATACATATGCGTTGTACCCGTATTCAGTGCTTCCATGACAATAGCAAAGCCCCACAAAAAAGTCAATGACTCCCCTCCGGCGTCGGACTCAGCAACCAAAAAGTGGTAAACACCACATCTTTAAGAGCCACGCATCCTCATTACTCCTCAGTCCGTCAGGAGATAGATCACCACCAAAATGGCCCCCTTCAACCTTGAAAGCTGTGCTAGGCCAAACATCTTGGCCCTCCAGCCATATCGCTGCGCGAGAGAGCATGTTGCCCCTCCCCCGCCTTAGAGCAACGACTAACTTTCCCCAGCGACTACAAGGATGACGGCACCAATATCCTTCTCGACGCAAATGAAAACGCGTACGGGCCTTCTCTGAGTGCAGATGTTGCGGAGAAGGCTGCCAATGGCGTGGAGGTCGACTTGCTGGGCCTGCACCGTTATCCTGACCCTCACCAGGAACCGTTGAAGAAGCAGCTTTGCGAGCTGCGAAACACCCATGCCCACACAGATAAGACGCTCAAGCCTGAGAATTTGTTTGTGGGTGTTGGTAGTGATGAAGCTATCGATGCTCTGCTGCGATGCTTCTGCGTTCCTGGAAAGGACCGCATCCTTACATGCCCGCCTACTTATGGGATGTATTCTGTGTCTGCACAGGTCAACGACGTGGCTCTCGTCAAAGTTCCCCTTTTAGAAGCCCCAACCTTCAGCATAGACGTTCCGGCTGTCATGGAAGCCCTGACAAAAGAGTCCAACATCAAACTTGTCTACCTTTGCTCGCCTGGAAACCCCACTGGCTCAGTCCTCGCCAAGTCTGATGTTCAGCAGATTCTGGATCACCCAACGTGGAACGGCGTTGTCGTTCTTGACGAAGCATATATCGACTTTGCCCCCAAAGATGCTTCTTTGGCTGAATGGGTGACCGAGTTTCCTAACCTGGTCGTTATGCAAACCCTCTCCAAGGCCTTTGGTATGGCTGGCATCCGCCTCGGTGCTGCATTCACATCGCCCCCTATTGCACGACTGCTCAACAGTCTCAAGGCCCCTTACAACATCTCCAGCCCTACAAGTGCCCTGGCGTCCTACGCTGTCTCCGAAAAGGGACTCGCTATTATGCGAGACCATCGTGCGCGCCTCATAGAGCAGCGTGATCGTCTTATCAAGGAACTTCCAAAAATCCCCGGTGTTGGTCGTCTACGAGGTGGCACTGAAAGCAACTTTTTGCTTTACGAAATGCTTAACACTGCAGGCGAGCCGGATAATACTGTCGCGTTGGCCGTATATGAGAAGCTTGCTGAGGGTAAGGGTGTCGTCGTGCGATTCAGAGGAAAAGAGCACGGATGCCAGGGATGTCTACGAATTACAGTCGGCACAGACGCCGAGGTGACAAGATTTCTGGAGTCACTGAAGACGACGTTGGTTGAGGTGAGAGGCTCTTAAACTGGAGCAACAAATAGGAAAAGGGCGATACAACGATGACGTTCTACGTTGAAACCAGACCTTCTTAGACGTAATCTCGTGGAATTAATAAAAGCAACACTCAAAGTATGAGCGTTTTATACCAAAGTGGTCTCTCAGACCGTTTATCCGAATACCCGACGCCAGTTCCATTCTATATCTATAAGGTCTAATGAATATCCAATACGTTTTTAGGCCCATCCCAAGAACATCAGAACACTTCCAATACTGACTGAAGCCAGAACGAAATCCGCTCGGGGGATACTAGCAGCATCCTCACTCTTGGTAGGCTGGGCTGCAGTTGCTGATGATGTCTCAGACGAGGACGTTGGTGTACTCTTAATTTTGGACTCATCCTTTTCCATGGCAGCCCAGTCTGTGCTGCGGACAACCTTGACATCATCGCCCTTGAGCGGCGCAGGAGCATCACTTAGTAACAGGCCCTGAACAGCTTCAAGAGCACACATTTGCTGCCCAAGACCGGGATTTCCATCGAAACCGGAGTTATACCATCGCATACCACACTCACGGCCAGACTTCCCTCCTGTGCATGTTTGGACAGCAGCCTTGGCCGATGGGAGAAGATGAGCATGGACATGGTCCTTCAGAGCGGGCTGCATCTGAATAGACAGGTACATGAATCGTGCTAGATAACCTTTGAAGGTGGACATGTCGTCGTTGCAGGTGTTGACAGTCTCGCAAGCAGCTTCGTACATGACATTGGTCGCATTGGGAAATGGTGAAAAAAACCAATCGGTGCCCTCCAAGAGACGCTTTGAGCGGTCGACCCATTCTGGCTTCTCAGTGTAGTTGGCGAGAACTGCCGCGCCGTAAAGATATATACCGCTGGTGTAAGTAAAAGAATGGTATGTTGTCTTCTGGCAGTTGTCTTCTACACTGGCTCCGTCATAGACGTGGTAATTGCGGTGATCGATGAAGCCTACTTCCCAAGACCAGTCCCAGATTTTAAGAGCCCAGTCGAGATATTTGTTATCGCCAGTGATACGAGCTAAACGTGCGGCAAGTTGGAAGAAACCGCCATTGCTGACCGAGTTTTTGTATGTCATGCCATTCGGGTTACTTGGGTAGATCTGCCACAAGAGGCCACCACCACAAGCTGTTGTATTCCATCGACCCGCAAGCTCATTGAATACGTTGATGCTGATATCGAGCCACGATGGGAGGCTCTTGTTGGGCTGAGGGAAGTTTCGCTCAGCAGCGGAGAGGACGGCTGAGCCCCAGAAGAAGAGATCATCGTTACCCTCCTCGTCGGCATGCTCTGCAGGCATGTAGTCCTTACCAGTGCCGAGATTTGTAGGCCCCAGAAGAGCCTGGATGACCACATCATTGTAACTGTAATCTCCGGTAAGGTGGTAGTAGTCGAGCATGACACCCCAAAGGGCACCAGCTACCCACCAGTAGTATGGATCTTGAAGGTCACCGAGATCCTTGGGTACCGATGATGTGTTGCCGCTGTAGTACTTCATGGCATCGAAGGCGAGGGTACCTGCTACATCTCGGATTGAATCTGAAATGGTTAGTGAACCAGAACTCCAGTTGACCGCAGAACATACCTGGATTTGAAGTGTCAAGTGAACTGGGAGGCGTTTTGGTAGCGATGGCTACAGAAGCCAAACTGGCTAAGGCGATGAACTTCATAATGTGTCTATGGTCGATGATGGTATGGTGTATGGTGTCTATTTGAGTTTGCTTAAGATGCTTGATCGCTCAGCGATAGTCTTCTCCTGGAAGATTGATGCAAGTCTCTTGGGTGCTGGCAGTAAGTTGATAGCTTTCGTAAGGTAGGTCCGATAAATGAGTGTAAGTTCAAGGCAGTTAACGGCAAGCGATATGGAATGAGAGTCTTGATATTCGAGAAAGAGCGAGGCGTTCAAGTCAAACAAATCAAGCTACCACAAGGTACCTAGGAACAAGAAGAAAAAATTCAGGCGTGAAAGTTGAGTACGCCTTCGGGGGCATGAAAAAGTCAGATAAGAAGGAATAAGAAACGAAGGAGGGGCCACCGAAAGATAAAAATACAATCACAGCTGAGAGGGAACGGGAATACGAGAACGCAATGAGCTAAAGCTGAAGCTCCAAAGACGTTTGTTCTTTTCAGGCTGGACTGGGCTAGTCCAAAACGTTGATAGACGACGGGGGCTAGTCCAGGTATTAATACATGATACCCTTGCTTGGCGGACTGTTTTCAGAGTTAGACACACAGGGAGGATATCTTTGAGGAACGAATGACGAATCATGCTGGGTTCAGGCGTAGACTGAGACTTTAGCTGATGAGCCTCAGACAAAGTCAACCGTTGAATGATGACCTCTACATTCTATGGAGAATGGGTTACCGAGCTCTCCCCGCAGACGGACATGACAAGGAACACAACCCCTGATGGCCCTGCTCTCGGCGATCAGCCGTTGATTGTGGCCAGTAGAACATGGCATCATGTTGGTGTTACAGACACAAAGAACCGGCTGTTTCGACTGGCCGCGCGGGTAAAGGATTTACAGTTGCCAAACCACGGTTTTTGTTTCCCAGGAATATGTATGAATCTAACGTTACCTACTGCAAGGTACTGTAGGATCCAGGGGTAAATGCCACTAAACTCTAGCTGATAGATACCTCTGGGAGGGGATTGGTAGGCGTCAAAAGTTGGAGGAAGAGGCTTGGCGCCACCATGTTCATGCCCTGCCTAGAGGACTTGGGGGATCATCGCAAAGCATTGAAGGTTGATACTCTTCTGGGAGAACTGGCGAAACAGTACCGGTTCTTCTAGAGAGTGATGTTCTCTGCTGCGTAACCATACATCATCCAAACTCGAGCAACACAAACTCAATATCCTTGCCCATCAACTCTGCATTAACGTTACGGTCCTCATCTCCACTGCCCCCACCCCCAGCAAGCTTTCTTTTCCCTGCCCTTGCATGGGCTTTCGCAAAGATGATCGTCTCGAAGCCTGACTCACTGACGAAACGCGATGCTCAAAAAAGGAGATCTTGAAACACGAAACAACGCCGGGCGTTTCTCTCGTCTGATCTTGATTGCAGCGTTTCCGACTTTGCCGTGTTGCCATACGGCACTCATCAACTCAGACACGTGGAAATACTTGAGTGTCGCATTCTTAGAGGACTCGAAGTAGAAGCAACTAACTGTCAGCCTAGGTCTGTGCATTGTTTACGAGATTCGGGTCGGTCCCGACATTGGAAGAAGCTCAAGGCCAAGCTTCTTGTCTTACATGTGGAGATGCAGGCGGAATCTAAGATCCTCAAACTCTTGGTGGCCGCAGAAAACTCAGGACTTCATTCCTAAGTGATGAAAATATCTAGGTAGATTCAGAAGATCCCAGGGGAATGCCAGCGGCTCTTGTGCAGTTTTATTTCGGTCCACTGATTAAGGACTGAGCCAAGGGCTCTTTTATAAGTTCTGTTGAACGAAAGCGCTGTTTCCCATGTCTCGGAACCTTGAGATTGCTAAAATGCAGTCTTCGTATGGTTGTGAAGCTACCGGAGCTTGGCCGGATGTTGTCTTCCTTTTTGAGCCTCCTTGCAAGCCCGTCAGCAGTATTAATTAGCGGTCTTGCCGTGCCACCGTCTTATCTTAGTGAGACTACTTCCGGCGTAGTTCTGGAGCATGTCTTAGAACCAGGGGCCGGCCGCTTCTCACTCAGGTCAAGTTATTATAAATTTATTGAACCCGATAAGCAGAGTTTTGGGTATCCATGAGCTGACTCTCTCCTTCAGATCAGATGTTACCATTGTTGGCTGAACTATTAATGAGCAAGGCATACTCTTGCGACTGCATATATGAACACTAAATGCTACAGCGCATCGGCCTTTGCGGTTCAAGACACGGCTGGTCGCCATGTCTCTCAAACATCCTATCCCTTCTCTCCGCCATTTCCCGTCGTTCGCCTCCATTCCCAGTGCCGCGTAATCATCAAGTAAAGCATGCGTTGAAAGTAAATAATAAACCCAAAATAACAACATCGACAAAAACGCATCTCTACATTTTGATCGAATCATGAATTGTGCTCACCCCCATGGTTTTGTGGAGCCCCCGGTTGCTGGTGAATGACAGATCGTTATACAATGAACAGCCAAATCTCGTAGGGCTGAGAGAATGGCTGGTATAGTTGAAGTCTGCAGCGAGAAGTGGAAGGCAGGAGCATCAAGTCTTCCTTCTTTGCCAATAAATTTCAATGCAAGGTCCGGGCCGCTGAGCTTAAATTAGACGGCAAGTGGCCGAAAGAGGAAATCGCCAAAACCAACCTCATCTGAGTTGGGGATTTGAGAGTATGAGCAAAGGGGTTTCATTCCGATGATAAATGGAACCACTACAGAGTCGTTGTGTTGTGTCAAGCAAGCTCGCTCAGAATTGGAAACAGATCGTAGTGATAGACTGACAGGTCAGCTCAGACGGTGTAGCAGCAATATGTACGTAGTATGCCACCGCAAACATATCGATTGCATGAACAATTCTCCATAACAACCCGGGGTAGCTATTTGTCTATAGTGAGAAGCATATAAATAACGTTACATATCAACTTTCGTTGAGGCGAGCGGGGACGCAGCCAGCAATGCAGCCCATTGTGCAACCACATCACCATGAAAGTTCAAGATGCGATATCTCAACACTTTCGCAGCGTAACTCGAATTTGCAAAAGACAAAACATAACTACTGATTCGTGCCTATCTTGTCATGCCAGAATTGTGTCCGTATGTGCAAAAGTGAATGCGTGATTCATGGTTGAAGTTTCATATAACAGAATCCCTTTGGAACGCAAAAATGAAGTTATATACTCTTGTGGCTGTTGTCTACCGACCTCAATAATAAGTTTGACTTTGCACCTGCCGCTACTCCGTAGATTAGCTTGGAATATGATATTAGGTCCGCATAATCATCCATATAACAAGCATCGATTGGCTTGCTTTGCTTAGTCACGTCAAACGACATACCATCAAACTGAGGGAGCTTACGTTGTATTATAAGACTTGGAGCCTAACAAAAAGGGATAAAAGTGGTAGAATCCATTGAGGGCACATGTACACTTCAAGATTGCAATTCGGCATAGTTATAATACGTGATATACTAAATATGCAAAAGGTGGAATGCATTTGAAACATTTATGAGGCTCTGGTTTTGGATGCAATATCAGTTTGACATGAAGAAGTTGGTATAGTAACTCCATGGTAGTCAGTGATGTTTAAATTAATCTTATGCGTCGCGTAACATCGGGTGAGCGGTGTGAAAGTAGAGGAACAAGAGCCTGACTTGGTATCCCTTATGCAGTGCTTTGGCATTCTGCGCTTGTTTGAGCCACGAGCGAGCTATTCATCGCGCCAATACTTTGGTAAATGTAACACAACTATCTTCCGCCTCGAGGCAGAAGAAGACATGAGAGTATGAAGTCTAATACTAAAATAAAATCTTGATCTAGGTAGTATGCGAAATGCACCGAAAGTTTTCATATCAGGGCCACAGGCTTCAAGTCTGCTGAACTTCAAATATGGCTCTTGAGGGTTTGAGGTTCCACTATTATCCTCAGCTTGTGATTGGTCGTGCAATATGGAAAGAGGTACTCATTGATGAAGGGGCAATGCGTACAAAGATGCGTTAGGGCATCGTAAGCGGGAGCTTGGTGTTGAGGAGGACAATAATTCTCCTAATGCATTCATGCATTCTGAAGACATTCGACCCTAGTTAGCAGAGAGTTAATACTTGACAAACCCTTTGCTCTTGCAGCCCCTTTATCCATGTATGCATGTGAATATGCATCGAGGTCAATTTTTTACAATACTTATGGACGTAGCCAGTTGAGGGATTGGAATTTCATGTACGAAAAACGATGAATGTCACTCAATGAACATCTAAGGGGTGCGTAACCACTTTGGCCTACTTCGAATATTGTTCAATCTTGAATGATGAACCAGTTCTGCAATACCTTCACATGCCGGGTGCTTTTCTTAATTTATGTTGGGTTGCATTTTTCGTTGGGGCGAGGCAGCTGAAGTCTCTCCTTCCGACCTCTGCAGAGTGTGGTCCTGGTTGGTTGTAGGTTGGGAAGGAGCGATGCCAATGTACCCAACCCGACTTGTCATGGAACTCGGGAAGGAGCGATGCCAATGTACCCAACCCAGCTTGTCATGGAACTCGGGAAGGAAGGAGCAACCTCCCCTCTTGGAATTTGAGCCCACATACCAGAATTGTTTTCTTCATATCAACATCGCCGAGTACAACAGATCATACTTCATAATTTCTTCAATTTCTTTCAATTGCTCACAATGCGTCAAGCTTCCATGTTGCATTATGTTCGCGTACGACAGGCCACTGAGCCGTCTTCGCATGAGGCGACGTCCTCAACTGCAGCCGAGCAAGATGAAGAACAAAGATCTGTTACCCCGACTACTTTAGATGTTGGTGATAGTGCTAACGTGGACCTTCCAGACCTATCCCGGCATTTGCTGGGTAATATCCAAGATGTGATCCACGACATGGGACTCGACACTGAGTTCACGACCTACAAGCAATTTGCCTTCAGCAACATTGCAAGTGGTCAATACAAGGAGAAGCTATTAGGCTTCCTCAACACCAAGCGCCCAGACCCAGATCGTTCGCTAATCCCTATCGAGGCATTCGCTTCTAATAACGAACGTTCTGACTGGGACACCCATTGCCCAAAGATTGACAACCTTTGGGATCAATACACACAGTCAGTCAAGCCTCTACTTGGCGAAAAGTACGACCTTTCATGGTTAAGCAAGCCATCTGGTCCCCTGACTGCTCGTCTTCTTGTGTTATGGCACTTCCCCACGACCAACACACCAAACAAGACGTTCTCGCACACAATGGACCAAGGTAATCCATGCCTCAGGTCACAAAAGGTATGAATGAGAACCCCTCCTGGGAAAACTCCGTTTTTTCTGTGGTCAATTGCCTACTAACACATTACATAGTGCAAGATCGGTCTTCCAGATGACGTCCGTACACAAGATGTCAACCCCGTTCGGGTGTCGTACGCATTAAATGACAAGCCTGTTTGGGAAAAGCAATTCGACAATTGGGATAAAATCGAGCACTTCAACTACGAGTTCACAGTAGCGACATGCCTCGACGTCCCTTTTGTTCTCGTCCTCGGGAAGGAACCATTCGAAACTCTCAAACTAGCTCACCAGAGCCGACAATGGAACCTACGCCCTTTAGACATCAATTTAAAGGTCGAGCATACGATGTATCACCAACCCCTTCGCGTCTACCTTTCAGTCAACCCTCAGGGTGAGGTCAAGCAAGTGGTTTTAAGGTGTTTCCATACTGAGTATGCTTTCAACACACCAAAGACAGTCCACGGTGCAATGATGGACTTTATGTGGAACCTTGCCTGTGAACTAGCAGGTGTACCTATCCATAACTCGACATACTTCTCTTTCAAGGTCAAAAACAACAGTGGCAAGATCTTCAATTCCAACAAAACCGAGAAAAAGATCGATGCCGGTACAATGCTCAAGCAACTATGGAAGCGCGAGCAGGAGTCTAATCGACTCATCACCATGGAAGAGATCGAGTTTTATTTTGCGAATAAGCTCGCTGCCGTCCCAGAACTTCGACAGTCCCTTGAGGAATCTGCACAGCGGGGCGAATCACTGCTGTCAGCGATTGAGCGACTCGCAACGCAACGTGCAGCAACAACACTGCGCGAACGAAATGAGAAACGCAAGCAGTTTCTACCACCACCGCCAGAGCCTGCCCCTAAGCGTCTGAAGAACCCAGACAACCACGGAGGTCAGGCCATCAAGGCGACGCGTGAGTGGCAGTCTTCTTCGGCTGGCCAAGCAGCTTTAGCTGGCCAACAAAGGAGCTCCCAGATAAGGGGAGACAAGATGGAAGCCAAGTACCAGGCCTTTCTGAGTCTCTATCAAGTACGCCAGCTTGAAGTTGCGCGGGCAAATGGCACTCTTACTGGTCAACAGGGCCAAGCCATGGCACGCTTCAACACAATCAAGGGCTATCACGACAGCAACGATCGATCAAAGCTGTCAAATGCCTTGGGAAGGTACATGGTCTTTTATGACAAGAAATACCCACGAGGTATCCGTTTCGAGGGTGATGGAGGTCCCCGGCAACAGGCTGACCCCTTTGCCAACCAAGATCATCCCGCCTGTGTCATTCTGCAAGGCAGCCGGCTCCTTCGCACTCGTGAACAGAAGAACGCGTTGGCAGGACCGGAGACATAGATACGTACGTGATCCGAACTTATACACCGTTATAAGATAAGAGAACGTGACCCATTCTTCATGTTTGGGAAGTCTTATGCACCGTCATGAGAATTGCCTCATCTTCGGATGAGTAAGATCTTCAACCCCCGAGGAAGAAGATATTGCCTGTTGCTCTTGAGCTTCAGAAAGATCTTGGACTCTCCGGAGAAAGAGATACCTTCAGTGCAATTATATCATAGAGATATTTCAGCTATGAAGGAAGCCCTTCGGGGTAAGGGTGACGAAGTCGGACTCTGCACCTCCACGTGGTGTTGCCTGGAAATCCCGCGCTTACTAGCTGGGAGCCAACGCAGAGACGCAATATCCGGAAGGATATTTTGAGAGGTCTTTTATCTGAGGAGCTGTGCTATGCTAGGTCTTGCGTTGTCGGGCGCATCGTGTGCTGATATTCAGTTTTTTTCTTGTTGTTGTTTGACATATAATCGAGATATAATCAATCTTATGAGAATTGCTTTCATTCATATAGGGGGACTCGGAGACTGTAAGTAAAAAATGCTTTGAGTGTAACTGTAGATGAAAGTATTGGGAAAATACGGCTGCTGTTTTTGCGACTCTTGTTTGTGGATCTCGGGGAGTCGGGTGATGCAGGGCATATGAGAAGTAAATCGATAAAGCGGGAGGACAAGGGAAGCAATTTGAGCTTTACTTGTTGCATCTCATCAGGATATAATGCACCTCTCATGTTTCTTGCCACACGGAGCATGACCCTCTTCAGCAATCTATCCCACTACCCCTTTTTGACGCCATCAGGAGACACTCATCACCAAAATTTGTGACAAGAGGACAATAACTCCCGAGTGTTCAAATACACTTGACCACAGCTTGCCAGTAGCAAGGCCTCGAAGCTGTAGTATGTGGGCGCCTACGAGCGGGGAAAGGCAAGTCGGGCGGGCAAGGCAAGTCAAAACCTCTGTGCCCTGGTGATATCCCTCCTCCTTTGTTTTTTAGCCGTTAACATCATGAATATCAACATATCTTCCGCATCATCAACAGCACTTGTATGTCAGCGTCCCTTGATTTGCCCGGCCCTCTTGATTGCTTCGCTTCGCTGTTTCCCACCTGAGTCTTCCTGCTACTGCCGCACTGTTCGGTACACAGATCCTTTCCCTTGGTTTCCTTGGCTGGAATAATTGCCACCGGGTCAATGCGAAGCTCGTTTCCCTCTCGTTATTCAAGCTAGTACCCCTCCTATCACAATCTCTAAACACTTCAGGAGACGGAGTTCAGAAATCCATGAGTATTCAACAAAAGTGTCTCTGATATCTGCTGACTCCTTTTCCTACAGAAGTCTACTGCCACTCCGGCCGTAGGCACTTCGAGGTCCTTCATTTCGCCGCGTTATCTCGTCAATACGTTCACGACATGTCTGCGATATCTTCCCATCGTTTTCCGCACACTCCCTAAACATACTCACGACATTTCATCTGGAACCGCATTCCAAGGGTTGAGAGGAGGCCACAACTAGATAGGCTCCTAGTTATTGGCTGGTTCTATAACCCGACCACGAAGAAGAATAAGAAGTACTGGCACCTCCTAGTGATACACCGATGATTCAGCAATTGTATAATAAGACCCGAGTACTATGAGTTACAATATCGAAATTTCTTATGCACTTTGCTGCTTTCATGATTAATATTCCAACCCCATTAGCTTGTTGTCGAGTCTACACGGCTTTATTGTATTGATACTGGCACCTTTTTCATGCCCCTTTCTTGAACATGGGCTCATCAACTGATACATATAAACTAAAAGTGTTACGCTTTATTTAAAGGACTTCAAGAAGAAGAGTTACTCCCGGAAGCCGTCGGCCTCTTCGTCACTGTTTCCCCCCTCAAGTAAAATGTGACTGCCCCAACCAATACCGTCATGCCTGAGAAAACCTGAGGACGACTGTCCCGGTTGGGAAGGAACGCTCAACCACTCCAACAATTTAGGTCGGGAAGGAAGGAACTTGAGCTCCGACGAGAGCTGTCCGCCCAATCAGGGGTCCCAATCACTTTGCTGCCTCAGGGGGAAGGAACACTCCTTCCTCAACAGGCGTTCTTAAGCCCTGAGGTTCTGGCAAAGCTTTTCTTTTCCATTCATCACTAGCAACAACTTTTCTGCAATCTTCAATTCTTTATTTCACAAAGACAACAGCAGCAATGGCTCCCTCTGGTCGTCAAACACGTCTTACGGTCACAAATGGCCTTGTTGGGTTAGTGCGCCCATCTCCTCCCTCCCCAGTGCCCTCTGTTGGCGCTGGTGCTGCTGATGTGATTTCAGACAAAGAGAGTGAACAGCGTCAAAATGCTGTTGGTAAGACTGCTCTAACACTAGGTATTGAGACTTCTGTCACATCCTATCGGGCACTGGCACTCTCTGTCATTAAAGATTGCCCCCTGAAGCGGGAGCTTATTGCTTTCGTCGATAGCGAGACAGAGGACCCTCAAAAGTCTCTCGTCCCTATCGGCGATTTTGTTGCTGACAAGGATAGAGCCGATTGGCATACCCATTGTCCCGAGATGATGAGGCTATGGAAGGACTTTTGCACCAATGTCACCGACGCCTCCAACGGCCAAGTTGCTATCAACGAGATGGCAGCGCCTTCAGGCCCCAAGAAGTCCAGAGCCACGTTCCTCTGGCACTACCCGACCAAGACCTCCCCCAATACGATCTTCTCGCACGTCATGGACCCAGGCAGTCCAAGTCTGAGAGTGCAGTCGGTAAGTTGAGCCGTTTGACACGACCTTATGAGTATGACTAACATATACTAGATCAAAAACGGGATGAGGACGGATCTGAAGACTCTGGACTTGATTCCTATTAGAGTTGATTACAAGGTAGAAGGCCCTCAGTGGAAGGAGACTTACGGAAGCAGGTGGCCACAGATCTACCAAGCTTGTCTCGACCACGCCAAGGAGCTTATCAAGGATGACAGGTTCATCTTTGCCGTTGGTAAAGAGGTGTTTGCACCCCTGAAGCAGATCTGTGGGTCTCTCGGGCTAACACTAACAAACCTTGACCTGGACGTCCAGACACAGATGTGGGAAAAGAAACCCCGTATCTACATTGCTCGCAATTCAGCTGGCAATATAGAAAAGGTAATCTTCTGGACGTTCCATGGTCAATTTAGCTTTCACAACAAGAAGACCAATGTTGGGGCAGTGTGGGACTTACTTTACAATGCAGGCTACGAACTTGCTGGGGTCCCTGTCCTGAACTATGGCTACTTTGAATGGAAGGCTGGTAACCTTGACACCCGTGGGTTGGCTGATCCAAAATCACAGGTCGGAAAGATTTCTGATCGTGATATGTACAATACCCTCAAAGACAAAGAGGACGCAGAGGGCAAGTCCTGCACTATTGAACTAGTGCTAGACTGCTTTCCTGCACTTATTCAGATGGACCCTGAGCTGCCTGACAAGATCAGGTCAGCGGTGAGTGAGAAGGGCTACAGTCCCATTCATCCCATCCTTCTATTCTTCCAAGCCCAGGATCGTCCAAAGTATCTGGCGGCTAAGCGAAAGAACGCTGCTCCTGCTACTCATGCCCCGCGCAAAAGACGTGTTAACGCTGGACAGAAGAGAGGTCATGATACCAAGAGAGCCAAGCTTCTCTCCAAGTACGACGCCCTCCTCAATTCCTTCGAGGCTCGCCAGGCTGAGGCCCATCGATTCGATACGAACAAAAGCGCCGAGTATGCCCGTGCTCTCCCCAGACTCGATACTATTAAGCAGCTTCGAGCCGATGAAGAGTGGAAGAAGTTGAGCACCAGTCTTAGTTGCTGGGCCACCTTCTACTCTGAAGAATTTCCACGCGGATTACGCTGGTCTCTCGATGGCGGTCCTGCTATCGTCCAACCGGATCCTTTTGCCAACGCGACCCAGCCGGGGGTTAGGCTCTTTGACGCGACCTATTTCAGGGACAAGTCAGCGAGACTCGCCGCAGTTGGACCTCTTGTTGAGGATGACGAATGATCCATCACCTTCGGTGTGACGTTCTAGTCCATTCAGGTATGACACATATCTTCCAATAGTTCCTAGCATATATATATATATGTATGGGATATGCCTCATTCTTTATGTTTGAGTAAGTCTTGTGCACTGCCACGAGAATTGCCTCATCTTCGGATGAGAAAGATCTTCATACCCTTTTGGGCAGAAGATATTATCTCTTAAACTCTCACGAGAAAGAGACACCCCAAGTGCGATTTTTATCTATAGATATTCTAGCCGAGAGGGGCCTTATCTATAGATATTCTAGCCGAGAGGGGCCCTTCGGGGTAGGGTGACGGAAGTCGGACTCTGCACCTCCACGTGGTGTTGCCTGGAAATCCCATACTGTTCACAGTTGGGAGCCAACGCAGAGACGCAATGGTTGTCTGTTTATGGAAACATAAACTGGTTGTCGGGGGATATGCTGCCAGTGGTTCTGTGTGGTATATTCGCGTTTCGTGGTTGAGTTGTAATTCTTGAGATCAACTTTGGGCCATTAAAGGAGGATCGGAACGGAAATGAGGCGAGATAGCGAAACTGGAAAATTGTTAAAATGTTAGTACTTATACAAACAATAGTTTATGTACATATGGCATTTGTTTATTGAGCATACTAGATTCAAGTTGGTGATTAAGCAACCAGCCCAGGCGACAGAAACTACTCCTGATCGTCTTAACCGGACAGCACTTGTTATTTCGGACGAGCTCTCTATCTCCACTGTCGGAAAGAGTTCAAGATGGAGGCCAAAGTTGGCTATTTGGTTGTGCTCATGTGAAATGGTTCTGAAGGTCGATGGTCCATAAACAGCCTCTCACCGAAAGCAAAAAGAAAGATCAAGATTATGGAACAATAAAATAACACATGTGGTGGCGCACGGACTGCTGCTTTCATTTCTCCCATATGCCAGCAGTGCTAACACTGGCGAGCAACCGAGGGGCTGGAAGAAGAAGCGTGAGATTATTTTACTACTCGATATTTTAAGGTTTACCTATATATACCCAAGACACAGGGACGTTAACAATAATCCAAGACAGATCGATTGGTCTAGTGGTATGACAGGATCATCCAATCTGGTTGCCTTCCCCCCGGAGGCACGGGGAGGAGGTGACTGGAGCATGATCTTAACCTGAGTTCGAATCTCAGATCGATCAACTTTTTTGTCTTTTTCTTCCATCTTGCGATTCAAACCCACGGAGTCGCCAGATCATCACATCTCTACCTCATCTTTTGCTGGCATTGAGGCATTGAATTAGGTGTTGTGGCTTAACGCGTTCTGAATTGTACGATGATCTGAAGTTTCCTCTCAACTAAGGGGAGTGAGTTTGCGCATTTGGCTCTCCCTGAATGGGTCCCTCTACATGAGGTAGTGATGATGACTAAGGAAAGAAGAAACCCTCCGATCGACGGCCCGCACCGCGCCGTGCGCTACATCCTTGATCAACTCATGCTACACAGCCTAACAACACAGCTTAGCCTGATACTATTGTTGTTTAGTGGAGCTGAATGCATGTGAACACGTCTGAGGTGGTCCACTTCGATTCGCAAGAGCGGGGTGCAATCCAAATATGGGGTACAATTCCCAGGTTGCTTGGATGTAGATTGACTTCTCCCGTGTTTGGCAACATTATCTTACTTACTGTAGTCTTTTAATACCCGCTCTTAAGCTTCGCTTCATGACCGGCAAGCTGGCTGATATATTTCCCAGTAGCAGAACATGATAAAGTCCCTCTACATCAAAGACCAGGGGATGCGATTCATGTTACCGCAAAACATCATCTACAGACTGACATGATGCTGGTGACTGTCTGGAGGCGGAAACCCCCCCTTCTAGTATTAAGGCTCTCTGCCGCCTCAAAAAACGCTACTGCCTAGTAATGCCTGTCTTTTACTCCAGAGCTTGCATTGATGTTTATTTTTGCAGATTGTTTAGGTGCATCGCTTGAATTGTAACTGTGAATGGACTTGGGCTGCAGAGGGTGTGACCAAGTCCTGGCCGAAGACTCTCCTCCCGCTTACGCTCTTAAAAGCCCGATCCTCGCGTGGGATACGACACATATGTAGCGAACTGGCCAGGTGTGGTGTCCCAGCGCCAGATTGGAAACCACTCGAAGAATTTGCTTACAGCACTTGCTGAGTCGAGACAATGATGGTACAGTAGGCAATGATGGTACAGTAAACGTTTGCTCTCTGGTTTTGAGAGCGCGTTGACATGTGCCGAACGAAGGATTGATCATATTTATCTACCATAGCTTAAGTTGGGCTGGTGTGTGAAGATGTAAGTACTGGCTCGATCCAACAGAGTTGCGCTGAGACTATGACAGGCCGT